AAAAAATGAAGTATAGGGGAATACAGAATACAAACAACCATAAGAAACATAACACTCATCAATATGGTTATTACTGCTGTCGGTCCTTTACTAATTTAGACTGTGGAGTATTGCCACCCCCTAGTGGCTATACTAATTATGTGCAGCATTTTCCCAGGTACCACACAATGGATCTGTGGTTAGGACTGTGACCTAAACACCTCCAGCGATGTTGGGTGCTGCATCTGTATGCTTTTTTTTTTCATCTGGTCCATTTATTTCTGTAACTGCTTGAAGACCTCCACAGCTCATAGGCCTCAGCGCTTGTACATTCCTAGGGCAAGCCTCCAATATGGATCTCAACCATAAGATATGCACAGAACTGGGGGCACAAAACAAGTCAAAATGCAAAAAATAGCTAAATTGTCATTACTTCAATACTATACAAATATACATGCAACATTTAAAAACACATACGCTGTTTTTCTGTTGATAAATATTCCAAGCTTTCAATCTACCCTGTGCACAGTAACATTCTCCTGAGATTTGCTTTTGCATTGCATCATTATTATTTTATGTTGAGTGGTTATGACACAGCTGTTGTGAAAAAGTTAAAATACTTTAAAAAAGACTGAAGCAAAATTTTAGATGTGTAATTGCTCTGGTCATGTAGGACCAGCCTAAATATGCTGCTAAAAATCATCTAATGCATGCGGTAGGTAACCTGATCCTGGAGTATCCAGCATGTTCTTTATCCTACAGTACCTGATGAGTCACTATCTACCTGAGATCAGATGTGGTTCATCAAGAACCAGGTAGGATGGAAAACCTGCTGGATACCAGCACTCCAGGATTAGGTTGCCTACCCCTGGACTAATGTTTTCAATAGCACCCATGCAAGAATGAAGGTTCCTTTTCCAAGGCAGAAAGACTGAAATGCTGGGAGCAAAGCAGTACTGATTCCTGAGCTGTGAAATTAAACTATTGTTATACAGTAGTTATTACAAGTCATATCTGACTTCTACTGATGTATTTCAAAACAGCATAGGCTCAGACTGCATAGGTTAAGCTTATGGGGCTGTCACGTGATGAACGAACGACTCAAACCCGAAGACTCGAGAGATTAACTAATCAATTCTGTTTCCGGCTCAGACTGCATAGGTTAAACTTATGGAGCTGTGACGTGATGAACAAACGACTCAAACCCGAAGACTGGAGAGATGAACTAATCAATTCTTTTTCCGGCTCAGACTGCCTTGGTTAGCTAATTCGGCTGTCACGTGATGAACGAATGACTCAAACCCGAAAACTTGTCAGATAAGAGGCGAGGTGAGCGAATCATAGACTAAAGACCCAGGTAAACAATGAATTCATATTTTCTGTTTCTTATAGCATTATAGTTTTGTCTTGTTTGTAGTGTGATCAACAATTTGTGTAAGCAGTAGATGTGTTAGGGAGGTAACAGGTAACATTTTAATTATATTTTGCTAAAATGAACGAAATGAACGAAATGACTTGAAAAAAGATTCATTCATTTTGCTGAACGAGACTCAAAGGTCCGAGTCGGTAAAATGATCCGAACTTCCCATCACTAATAAACAGATGGGAAACACAAGGTTGTCAGATGCCGAACTGCAAGATGCACACACGGTGGGAGATTTACACAAGCTAAATACACGCGAGGATCGGACTGGGTACATATAAGACATGGCCAAACACACGCACAACAATAGTGAAATGCAAGCATTAACATTAACAACAACAACACAACAAGGGCTATTTACAATTTCATGTGGGGCATGCTGGGACATGCGCCCCGCCGGTGCTACAATATGAAAAATATCGAGGCTTTATGGATTATTAGGGGTGCTTTTTTGTGGCAAATGTTTAGAATATATGCTTCATTACACACAGGATTACTCTGGAATATTTCAGCATACAATGCTGCAATTTGATTAAGTTCTCTCTATTGCAAAGATTTGCCTCTGCGTTATACCTATCCAAAGTTACAAGCATGAGATTAATTGTGCGCAAATCAACACTCTTTTCATTTGTTGGGTTCTCAGGAATAACAAATAGATGAATATTAAGCCGTTGTGATAAATTATGAGGCGTATTGATGAGTGATCTTGACCGGTCTTGAAATAAAAGCTCAAGTCCTCTGTGTCCGAGATTAAGACAAGACCGAGTCAAAATAAACTTGATTCCAAGACCAGACCAAGACCGGAAAAAAGTGGTCTTGAGACCAAGACCAGTCTCATAATACTAGTAATTAGTATCACACGAGTCACTCCCTCACTTTCTGGAACACCCAAAAGGGCTTCTCTCGCTGTGTAACTAAAAAGATTAAAAAAAACAACTCAAAATAATGCATAATTTTGTTTGTCCAGAGGAAACCTGACAATCTGGGGAGAACCTGCAAACTCCACACATGGAGCCATGGTAGAGACTTGAATCCTGGTCCCATAGGTGTAAGGCAACAGTGCAAAGCGCTTCACCACCATGTCAGCCTTCAATGCTTTCAAACACACACATACATGCGTGCACACATGCACAAACACTCTGTAAACAGTTGCACTGGAATTTAAGTCATAATGGAATAGTAGGGCTGCTCAGAAGTGAGCCCTCTTGTCATCAGTCCCTTTAAATCACATGGTAAAATATTGTCAAACAATTAAGTTCATACATTTGGTTATGTCATGGCTTCTTACATTATTCTCAGAAACACAAGAAAATTTCTTTTAAATACTGTGCCAAAAAATAACAAATGACATCAGCCTTATAGATCAGATTCAAGGGAGAATATTCCTTCACTGGAGTACACAGAACATCCTTAGAGATATTATGGGACAGAAAGCTTCCCAGAAAAAGTATTCTCAGGCTGATATTTATATACCATAACAAAGTCAATCACAAAAGAGAGTGTCCTACTCCAAAGTTATTTTGAAGCAGTGGTGTAAAAATAAAGAGATCCAGATACAGAACAGGTGTAGACCAAGAATCGAGGGTCAGGAGTCATAATCGAGAGTGCAAGGGCCAAAAAGGCGAGGGATTTTCCCTGGGGATGGTGGGAAAAGCAGGCACGGGTGCCGATCTGGGAGGGCTGAGACACACACTCACACCGGGATATCAAACTCACAGGGCAAGGGATCACGATCGGACACAACAAACACATGGGAGAATACCCAAGGAGTAACTCGCAGACAGAGAAGAACTGGGAAGTAGCAGAATGCTCTTTGACTGATCATACGCGTAGGTTCAATTCCCCGCAAAGGATTGTGGGGGTTAACCAGGCTAAATGCGGTGGGAAAATAACGGAAATGGAAATGAGTTGAAGCTTTTAATACTCAGGCGAGGTATATCAGTATATCGTTATCGTTGTCATTGAGGAGGTAGCAAACTGGCACTATAATCAAGCTGACTGGGATAATTCTGCCTTCACAAAGAGAGAAAATAGGCCAGAACAGTATATTCCCTAGTTTATAATAATTTTTATCATTGGATAGCAGTTAGAGACATTTTAGGACTAGTTGTGCTGGGACTATACAGTAGTGACTGCCAACATGTCAACCTCAAGCTACCAGTAGCCTCTATGACGTAATGATTAGATTGCATAACACTACTACTAATATTATTGGATTACCACCCAGTCCCCAAAACCCGCAGCATTTCCTCTTCCACAAGCACTGTAGGGGGATCAGGTTGGGTTGGGCCAGGGGGCGATACAGTGTCAGGCGGTCCCTGTGCAGGACCACAGCCTTTCGTCGCTCGGGCAGCTGCACGTGATAAAAAATGTCAGAGAGGTACTTGAGGATCTCCCCCAGTCCACTGCAGTGGCTGTCCAGCTTGCAACTGCCCCTTCTTTCCAGTGGGATAGTATACCCAAGTCCTGCTTATGACAGTGTGCACTGTAGGTAAGCTTCTGTTGGGCAGTCACTGCACCTTGATGCTGAGCGACCAGCTTGCATACACCCTTCAGACGCTCCCGGGGGTAACACAATTACTGCATACCTGGTACCTCTGGCTTGAACAGCAGGTGGTGGAGCAGGAGGTGCTGGGACACCAGGATGGCAAGCTATGCATGCGATGAAATTGCTCCACCGGTCCATCACTTTGTGGGAGATGGGCGTGGTGCAGGTCTTCGCAATGCATAGTCTCTTGCAAACCTCGCCAAACAAATGTGCTTCTAAGTTTCACCCCTGGTTACTGTGAGCTCCTCTGGCACACCAAAGCAGCAGATGAACTCCTTGAACTTGCTGTGGTTGCTGCGCTCTGATTGGAAAGCACATACGTCTTAGGCCACATGGTGACATAATCCATGGCGTTTCCTGGTAGCTGGAACCGTCTGAGTGGTGCAGCAATGGACAAACAGGTCAGTGTCCGAGTTGCAGCTGGACTACCCCCCTGACAGCCTCTAGCTCCTCGCTGTCGCTGTCCTGTATCACTGCCTAATCAAATAGCCACTGAAGGGATCTTGGTTAAATGACTGAGACATCTCACAAAAAGTTATGATAATCATAAAGACATTTAAGCAGCGATGCTGGCAGTTGAGTATTGGGAGGCATAAGTATTCAGATTTACAGAAAAAGCAGCACAACACGTGCCACTTAACAATACAAAATCATTTCTATTCTGCAGAAGTACCCAGAATACGAACTACATAATCTGCGCATGCTTTAGATAAACTTAAAATCATAATGTATTCATTGGGCAATATAACAACGCATTAATTATTAACTAATAGCTATTCGCGATTTCTTTTAGTTTAATACCCAATTACCCCAGGTAAAACACATTTTTTCCATGCTTTCAGTGCGCTTCATTGCTTGATGACAGTTGTTATGACAACCATTCCTAAAGCGGAAGTGAGCCTTAAACGGTCAAAGATGGCGGAGCGGGAACCGATGGCGACGGCGATGCGGTTGAGAAACCAGTTACAGTCGATGTACGGACTCGACCCTTTGCGAAACGAGGTAGGTACTGGGTGCCTGTGGGAATGCTGGGACGTGTGTGCCAATAGAAGTGGCCGTTACACACAGGAAGCACCTTTCTGTCAGTGAGTGAGTGAGTGAGGGGCGAAGGGGGGCAAAGCGCAATCAGCAGCGGGACACTTTCCACGGATTGCAGCAGCTGCGCACCGCTTTCACATATGCATGCTTCATGACAACAGGAAAAAGTTAAACAAATAAGAAAGCATGCAAATATATATCAATCTTCTTACCTAAACAAATAAAGGATGTACTGAGAGCTTCCAGTCACACCGGCGCGGCTGGACTTGCGTTGTCCCCAACGTGCTTATTCAGTATATTATGCATCATTTTGGTGTCCCCCTTTGTATGATAACAGTAGCAAAACGATCGAACTCTCGCTATCACCACGATGTCTAAAGGGGAACAAAATATCTCGACTGAGGGAGTAAAATTTATTTTACCAACTAGGATATATTATGACTGTCATCAAATGGACAGAGGCGAACCCGGTGTGGTTTCATTTCCTTAAGAACTTTTTTCATTGTGAAATTAAATGTACGAGTATTAGGAGGTTATTAAGAATTGATTTTTTTTTTTTAAAAGCACATGCTGCCCCAGTGTGCTCCCGTGTCGCGTGGTTACCCAGCATTTACCGTATAATACTCACCGCATTAATAATAATAATAATAATAATAATAATAATAATAATAATAATAATCCATCCATCCATTCTCTGCCGCTTATCTGGGGTCAGGTTGCGGGGGCAACAGTCTAAGCAGGGATGCTGATGTTGAGGGGGAACCCTCCCCCCCTCCCTATTTCCAATGGCCATAGCTAACAGGATTTTAAAAATACTGACATGCAGGAAGTTTTCTTAAAGAAATAAAGTTCGTTATAAAGTTGTTAAGACTTAAATTTGTATTTTTCTGCTTTGAACATTATTATGATGTCTCACTCATAAATTTAAAGTCCTTTCTTAAAAAATAAATCTATAAATTGATGTCTGACTGCTATTTTTTTTACAGGAAGAAGTCAAAGTTAAGATCAAAGATCTGAATGAGCACATTGTCTGCATTTTGTGTGCCGGGTACTTTATTGATGCCACAACAATCACTGAATGCTTGCATACCTGTAAGTTCCATTTCGCGGTCACTATGGGCCACATTGTAATTAACCACTTGGAATTCATATGGTATTGACATGTAACAAAGAGTTATGTTAATGCAGTGTACAGACTGCAGGCTGCAGCTGCACTTTTGAACTGTATTCATCCATCATCCAACTGCCTATGCTAGTCTTGGGGCCCTGTCAGGTGGGGGGGAGGTATATTTTGAATAAGCTGCTCTATAAATTGGTTTATTAGCTATCAAATGTATTTTTGATCGAAGTATGTAAATGAAACTTAAAAATGGCTTATCACTACAAGTAACATTACCTCTGGCAGTGAAATAAGTAAGCAAAATAAGTAAAAAATACAAAAACATGGAACACATATCAAGGCATCATGTAAAAAATATCTCATCCAGTGGAGAATTTATTGTCTGGTCAGAGCTACTAATTTAAAATAACATTAATGCTGATGGAAAAAAACATGTTTATGAGCACAAAACTGACATTTTATTAAATTATTCACTTTTAATCTTTTACTAAATTTTGGGACAATAAGAAAAAAAATAAAAAATAAGAAAACATTGAAGGAGGTGGAGCTGCGCTTTGGCAAAGTGCGATTTGGACATAAGGAGGCAGAGCTGGGCTCCTCTGGGCTCTACATATATTTAAACCCTGAGCACAAGGAGCACTGCAGGGGTACATCCTGGACAGCAGGCAATCACAGTAACGGCTCTGGGGTTAATTAAGTACTGCAGTCACTTGCGTAACTGAACAACAAGTGTATCAGAGTGTTTATCCATAGGAAATCAATGTTAGAAAAAAGTGTTTTTTTCCCTTGCTGTTACAGTTTGTAAGAGCTGCATTGTGAAATACCTGCAAACCAGCAAATACTGCCCCATGTGCAACATAAAAATCCACGAGACGCAGCCGCTGCTGAATCTCAAGTTGGATCGAGTTATGCAGGACATCGTATATAAACTGGTTCCTGGGCTGCAGGAACGTAAGTTTGCAGAAAATAGTTTCTGCATTTCTCAGTTTCATGTATTGTTCATTGTAGATGAGTACTTCTTTTCAATCCAGGGAATTTCAGTTAATATTTTTTTCCAAATCTTGACAGTTATCACAAATTGTTTTTTTTCTGTTATTGTGCACATTGTTTCTTTTGCCTGATTTTATGTATATAACATTTTTCTTTGCATTATTAGTTGAAGCTTTTGAGCTTTTGGTTTTCCCCTGTGCTTCATACCTGTGTTAATACCTACAAGGCTTTGAAGACTTTGTTACAGTGTCTATTTGTCAAGTCTCAAAGTCTCTTTTCTCCTCTCACACTCATGGTGGATCCATCCATTGATCCATCCATCCATTTTTTGTGACTACTTATCCTATTCAGGGTGGCGGGGGTGCATGGCAGAGAACAACCCAGGATGGGGAGCCAACCCATCGCAGGGCACACTCACACATCATTCACTCACACACCATTACTCATACATCATTCACTCACACACCATTACTCATACATCATTCACTCACACATCATTCACTCACACACCATCACTCACACATCATTCACTCACACACCATTACTCATACATCATTCACTCACACACCATTACTCACACACCATTTACTCACATGCCATTCACTCACACACATTCACTCACACACCATCACTCACACACATTCACTCACACATCATTCACTCACACACCATCACTCACACATCATTCACTCACACACCATTACTCACACATCATTCACTCACACACCATCACTCATACACCATTTACTCACATGCCATTCACTCACACACCATCACTCACACACCATCACTGACACGCCATTCACTCACACACATTCACTCACACACCATTCACTCACACACCAGTCACTCACACACCGTTCACTCACACACCATTCACTCACACACCAGTCACTCACATGTCATTCACTCACACATCATTCACTCACACCTTTCACTCACACATGCACGCCTATGGGCAATTTGGTGACTCCAGTTAACCTCAGCATGTTGCTGGAATATGGGGAGAATCTAGAGGAAACCCCAAGTCCACATGAGGAGAACATGTAAACTCCACACACATGGAGCCATGGCAGAGACTTAAACCCTGGTCCCAGAGGTGTGAGGCGACACCACCAACATGCCACCCTCAAGAGCATATATATAATTTCTAAAATTACTGTTTTTTTGGATTAAGTGTTAACTGAAACACTGGAGCTTTTTCTCACCAGGTGAAGACAGGAGAATTAAAGAATTCTACCAGTCTCGTGGACTGGAACGAATTACTCAATTGTCTAATGAAGGTGCGTTGGTTAAATTTTTGGTTCAGAGCTAATGCTACTGAAGCATTTAGGTACTACAGGCTAATGTCACTTTGTGATATCCCCAGATGGAGTTGCAGATGCCGCTGGATTGCTCTTCACCCACTTTGATCGTCCAAAAGCCCATTTCTACAAAAACGACGAACAGGTCTCCCTCTGTTTGGAAAGGTAACATCAGCAGGGATTAAAGTTCTCCGTCGTTACGACGGATTTCCGTTAATTGTAGCGAGTCATCGACGGATTTCCGTCAATTACACTGTTCCGCCTGTCCTTAATGTTTTAAATTCACTTTTCATAATTTTAATGCTGTATATATAGGCTTACAATTCTCAAATAGTGTAATAAATGTCTTAATTTTAGTTTAAATAGGTCTTAAATTAAGGAAAGACAAAGTGTATTCAGCCTGCTGAGAAGGATGTGATCAAAGCCTGGAGTGGAGCGAATGCACGTTCCTCTCTCCACTCTAAGCGTTTTGTTATCACTCCGGTATGAATCCACTCCGGGTTTTGGTTTAGTTTTGAAGAAGTACATGTCAGGCTACGGCTGAGGTATAACTATATTTAAGATAGCATGGACACACTTATAATGCAGGAAGGCTCCGATGTTTCGGAGATTGATAAAAGTGTAAAAAAATAAATGGAGATGCGCTTGGCTTAGCGAAATTGGGGAGAATGGCAAGCCTTTTAGTTCGCGGGCTAAAAAAATCAAACAACCAGGTATGTGTCTTTGCACAGTATGCCACAGGAAACTTCAATATGGCAATAATGGCAAAAAAGTGCTAGCTCGCCATCAATCAGAAGCTAGTCACAATGCTGCCGTTCGTGCTCTACAGTACACA